GAAACAGGGCGGAGTCAGTATCGAAACGGGGCGGAGTCAGTATCGAAACGGGGCGGAGTCAGTATCGGAACAGGGCGGAGTCAGTATTGGAACAGGAAAGAGTCAGTATCGAAACAGTGCGGAATCAGTATCGGAACGGGCGGAATCAGTATCAGAACGGGCGGAGTCAGTATCGGAACGGGCGCAGTCAGTATCGGAACAGGACGGAGTCATGATCCGAACAGGGCGGAGTCAGTATCAGAACAGGGAAGAGTCGGTATCGAAACAGGGCGGAGTCAGGATCGGAATGGGCGGAGTCAGTAACTATATTGTAACATTTGGCTTTATGATTTTATGACTCTTAGTGAGGAATTTTTACAGTTTTATTGTGTTAAAGTGCTTCAGAATGACTCGCTGTTAGTCGAGATCAGTGTGGTATTAGTGTTACTGTTAGAAACTTCAGCATGTTAGTAATCTAGTGTTACTGAGCCACTTATATTCAGCTGCTGCAGGCTGTTAGTGATTAAAATTCAGATTGAGACTAAGTTCAGGAGAAGATGTGAAGTTCCTGCTCTCTGTTTGTTCACCAAAGCTCAGTCCTGTGTGAACATTTCAAACACATGGTCAGGACAGGTGACACAGACAAGAGCAAACAGGTGAGAGGGGGCGAGGTGGGGGCGGCTTACCTGGCTGAGGGCCGGGTGGTGGGCATCATGGAGGTGGCGCTGCGGCGTTCCGCCTGGAGACGGAACCCCTGATGTTGATGCAGACCGGCCCAGTTTACCCACAGTCTTTGATTCTGCAGAACCAGACATCAGTCACCTGACAGGTATCAGCTGCTCACCTGAGCTTCAGAAAACGGTTAATCCTAGAGCTAAGAAGCCATGGAGTACAGATCAGATGAATCCAATGTTACACTGTAAAAACACAAAATTACAGCCAGAAAGTTCGGTCCAGTTTCTAGTGCAAATTTCTTATTACACTTGAATTACAACAACACTAATTTACATGTAACTTTTCATCAAGATGTAGGAGTTTAAAGTCAATAATTCCTCAATATTGATAAAGACAACTGGCAGATTGTTTCACTTATAACAAGACATTCTTCTCATTTTATAAGTGAAATATTCTGCCAGTGGAACTAATACATTTTAGAGTAGAATAAAATAAAATTTTCTGTAACCTAAGGAAAATCTGCCATGGACTCAAGGATGCTACGCACAGCAGCATCTGCCAAAACAGACAATAAAAACACAAACGATTCAAATAAACAGCTAGAAACCCAGACTACATACACAACAGTTTAATAAGAAACAGCAAAACACCAAATTTACTGCACACCTTCCAGGCCTCAACATACTGTCTATTTCAAATTTTGATTAAAGATTTAAAACAGTTCAGTTTCATTTTTGTGATTCTGTTCTTTCTACCAGAGGGCAAAGTTCATCAGAAATAATCATTGACTTAAAACAAGCTCCTGTATCTGGCTGAAAAGTTACTTGTAAATTAGTTTCGTCGCATCTCAAGCGATGAAACTAATTTACTAGACAACATTCAATAAACTAAACAACATTCTAGGTCAGATTTTGTGTTTTTGCAGTGCAGGCTTCTCAGTTAACTAACCTGAAGTTCAAATGAGCTTATGCATAATTTAGAAACGGCTAAAATACTCGAAATATGACAAAACAACACATTTTTTAGGGAAGTGTGACATTACTGTAGTAATCAGACACAGAACTTAATGTGCCCAGAGGTTACATCAACAAACAATACGATACAATCTGATGAAGCAGCAGCGAGATAAAATTAGCAGAGACGAGACAGAGAGAGGTTTAATCAGCGCTGAGTGGTTTCAATGGCTGCTGCTCTCCAACTCTGTCTGGGGAATTGTGCAGCACTTAGAGAGTGAAACGGAGAGGGAGTCCAGCCGAACGCCGAGTTCTCAACGGAGAAAAGAAGTTTAGTTTTATTTTCTCACAAAACAAGAAGAAATTCAACACACTGATTTAAATTGAACTTTTTTTAGCCATTTGGGATTACCAACAGTTTCCTATTTGCTAAATGCAAGAAAACAGACATTATTATCATCTTTGTAATTTATTTATCCGCAGATGAATTTAAACAAACTGAAACCAGTTTCTGAAGCTTCATTTTATCTGAAAATTCCTCAACTAAAATAAACAGGGTCGGGTTTGGATCCATTCAACCTGAGCTCCTGTTGACATAACGGTTTAGTTTTTAGAGGATTACAGGACCTCACCTCCTCCTCCTCCTCCTCCTCCTCCCCCCCCCCCCTCCCCCCCCCTCGCCCTCACCGCGCCCCTCACTCACCAGCGGGCCCCCC